CTGTTGTGGCAAAAAGTAAAACATTTAAAATACATCTGATTCTTAAAATATCTATTTTATTGGCATTCGTCATTGTTTTCATTCATGATTTAAGAATATGTTGTCTAGTGTACGCACACTTTACATCTCAAACATAGACACACATGTGCAGCGATGCATGTATTTACAGTGTGTATGTAATGCTGCTCCAGTGGCCATGCAGATATGCTTCTTAAATGGAAATGACCCTTCCTTCTCACCAGAGGGGCTGCTGCTGCTGCTGCTTTGTAACATTTTGCTGCAGGCGACACTTTCCAAAGCATGACTCTCAGTCATCATGCATAACAATGTATGAATGAATGGCCTAGTTTCCCCCTTAAGTAGTAATGTGACCCCTTTCCCTACTTCCGTGGTAACAGAAACAGTGCATGCACACACTGTGTGAGGAAGCATTACATTGGTATCCTGCTCTCAGTCTTTATCTACAGAACACTGAGGTATTTGAGTGCATTTAAGCATGGTATCCGTACTGAGAAGCATTACTTTCAGTCGACAGCTCGATTATATCTGTGCTACATAATCCCATGTCTTATTGTATGATTGTGATACCCTAATGATTTTCTTAAAATTGAGAAATGAACAATAAAGAAAAACCTTAAAATGTGTAGGAGGTATGTAATGTATCTGCTTTGACATAAATGTTTTACTTTTATTGAGATTCAGCAAGAATTTTTATGACAAAAGGAAGTAGACCAGATAGACAAGACAGCTTTACACCAATTAAAACTAAAATAATGTTAAATTTAAATAAAGAAAAAAAGACATTACAATAAAAAATACTAATAGTTCAGGTGACACACCGGGAAAACTCTCTGATTTGGTGTTTTGCTGCTGCAGTAGTTGATCTATCAAACTGAAACTACACAGATGTTTGCATGTGGAAGATGTCCAAAAGAAATAAATAAACCCCAGTCGATGTGAATTTTTTAGTGACAAAGTTGTTTTGTGAATAAAATATGAGACAGAAAGTATCCTCCAGAGCTTCTCCAGCACCACTCAAGGGCCCTTCGAGACCAGCAAATTAGTATTTCAACAGAACACTAACAGTCAGGATTTACTCAAAAAGGCTGCTTTGGATGAGACACGGCGCATAACAAGATTAAATTGAGCTAAAAATACGCAATAATTGAGCGAGGCCATTTAAACAAAGCCTGCAATTTAGTGGAAGCTTTATCTGTTATTTTTTTTAAATTTATAAAAGCAGGTTTTTTTTTTAAAGATATCTTTTTGTAATTCTAGGCTGTGCTCTGACACATCACCTTGTGCTAATAAGCAAAAAGAGAGAAAAAAGAACCACCACTATCTACTGCAATTTCCCTAAATATTGGGCAGCGGCTCAAATATTGTCTGCATGGCAGGGGGTGAATTAACTTACAGACACAAATCACTGGGGCCTAATCTCACACCTCGCTGAGCATATGCAGATGTGATTGAACTTGGATCATGAGGCACCGTCAGTAGCCTCAGAAATGGCTGGACATAATGCTCGCTTATTATTCCCCTTTATCACATGCTGGGCGGAGAGATCAATGAGCGGGGGACACAGTAGTAGCCTCACACTGCAGACGGCTGACATTTCATATCGTGTTGTTGGGTACGACAATGAAACGGAGTGGATTTTCATTTTTTTTTCCTCAAAGGCGGTCTTTACATGTAGTGGCCTCTCAAGTTAATGAAAGCGTTGGATGTCACCACAGTAGCCCAGCAGTTCATCACACTGGGCGGGCGAGTGCTTTGATTGATGTGAAGTATCCATTGTTTGTTGCTCGGCTGGACGGTTTGTCATTGGGCTGTGGCCGCTGGCTTTTAATCTGCTAAGATATAAGGTGCTGTGTTGCGGGAAACTTTCTGAAACATTAGATGGCTTTCCACTGCAGGGACTCCAAGCAGACAGGAGGTGGCACGAAGGTTTACAGGAACAGCCCCGTAATCGTCCATTTGTTTTTTTTTATTGCGGTGTAGGATCCAAAAAAATGACAAATTGTAGTTACTGGACTCCAGTTATGTGAGCATGTAGATAATAAAACAATGGGGGTTTGCTATGCTCAATGAATATTACAATGAATTTCATGTTGGTGGTTTTGGAGACTGTAGACACTTGTTCCTCCACAAGTTTAATTAGTTGAGACAGCGTTTTTTTCAGGGTAGTTCTGAAGTACCGTCCGTGGAATAGGCATTTTTTTTCTCTGCTGAAAATGCCCTGGAAGAGGTTCTACATTGGCGGTACTACCATCAGAACAGCTCATTGCAATTGACTGCAGAACTTCATGTCACTGTAACGAGCAAGTATGCCACACGGGTAACACTTTATAATAACTATCCGTTATAACTAGTTAATAGATCATTTTGAAATTGTTAATTAGTGAATTATTAACCACTTGTTAAGTGTTTGTTAATAGTTTGTTGATGATTTATAACTATGCCTTATAGATAGTTAATAAGCCATTTACAAACTGTTAGTAAATGAGTTATAAATGACTTGTTAACTGTATATTAATGATTTACAGCCATACCTTATAAACCAGATCATGAATAAGCCATTAGTGAATTACTTACTAATGACTTGTTAAGTATCAGTTAATAGTTTATATATGTTATTGGGATGTTATTCTGAAGTTCCAACTCTTCCTCATTTATTAACTGCTGGTAAATGAGGAATAGTTGCAACTTTAGAATAATGTCTCAATAACATACATAAGCTTATAACTAATACTTAACTACTACATTAACTCACACTTTACAGATCACTTGTTAATAGTTTGTTAACCATCTACTAATACCAATGAAGCTTTGTAGAACAGCAAATGGGTGGAACAAGTTCAAGGTACAGAAATTTGATGTGATATTTAAAATATCACAGTTTTGTAACTCAACCCTCTTCCACCCATAGACTTTTCTGTGTATTATATTTTACCAAAGACATACAACAGATAGAATGTTAAACATTGTCTTTAATCTATGAGGAATAAATGAGGAATAGTTGCAACTTTAGAATAACATCCCAATAACATATATAAACCATTAACTGATACTTAACAAGTCATTAGTAAGTAATTCACTAATGGCTTGTTCATGATCTATGACTGGTTTATAAGGTATGGCTGTAAATCATTAATATACAGTTAACAAGTCATTTATAACTCGTTAACTAACAGTTTGTAAATGTTTATTAACTATCTATAAGGCATCGTTATAAATCATCAACAAACTATTAACAAACACTTAACAAGTGGTTAACAACTCACTAGTTAACAGTTTACAAATGATCTATTAACTAGTTATAACGGATACTTATTATAAAGTGTTACCGGCACACGTAACAGCTTGAGGGTAGACGCTGTCCCATAATTTAAATAAACAATGAATTGGATTTGTAAGAGTCTATGTGTTGATCATCAGACTTTAAAATCAGCTCTCACGTACAACTTTCATAGAGGTCTGATTAGGAATTGGCTCTGCACAAAAGACAAGTTAAATTTAGAATACTAACATGGGATAAAAAATGATCTAGATACTGAAAAAATACTGACAGAACATATGAGTTGTGTGTTGTTGTACAGCTGCAATGGTCAAGCTCATTTACCTGAGAAAAAAGCTGTTTGCTTTGCTAGACAACATGGCTTCAGTGGTAGAACAGGTTGTTCACTAATCAAGAAGTTTTCTCCCCTGGTCTACATGCCAAAGTGCCCTCGGGCAAGACACTCAACTCCAAGTTGCTCTCGAGGCAGGCCAACACTTTTGTGTTTGTGAATGGTTAAAAGAGAAACACATTAGGCTGCTGTCCACTGCAGAAACATCCAGGCAGATTGTTGGAATTACACGAAACCCGCGTCTGTCATAAACATCAACTTACTTGCAGTTGTGAACAAAAGTTTCCAAACAATTGTAAAGACCATGTCTATCGTGGCAGTCTTGAGTTTTTATACCTCTGAATTTTCTGACGGAATCATTGAACCCCATGTGTCTTTGTCACAAAAAACAGTAATGCATTTTGGTTCTTTGACAGATGTATCATAGGCTTTCTGGAAATATAACCAAAAAAAACTGCTGGGTCTTGAAACTGTGTCCAAGAACTGACCTTGTGGCCGATGATTTTAGGTTTTCCTGAAGAATGTGGAGGCAACCTTCCTACTTCATTTTTCCACTGGCAGCAAAACAGCCCCAGAGCATGATACTGCCACCACCATGCTTGACAGTAGGTGTGGTGTTCTGCTAAATAGATATTTCTTTTGTTTTATCTAAGTTTATATGACCACAGAACTTTCCTCCAGAAGGCCTTTTCCTTGTCCATGGGATCAGCGGAAAGCTTCAGTCAAGCCTTAAGGTGTTGCTTCTGGAAGAAGAGCTTCCTTCTTGCATGGCAGCCTCTCAACCCATGGTGATGGTAAACATCCTTCACTGTAGACACTCATACCTTTGTCCCAGCAGCTTCTAATCCATTGCAGACCTGCTTTTTGCTGATTCTTGGTTGGATTTTCACCATTATGACCAACTGTCTCTCAGCAGCAGGTGATAGTTTGTGTAAACTTTTGTTCACGACTGTATGTTGATAAATGTCAGTCCTAAAATTAGTTTACAATCATTAGCGCTAACAACTGGACAGCTGTTGCGCAACAGACGATGGAGAACTGTGAGACATGCCTAACTCTGGATACTGCTCGTGGCACAGGAGAGCATCATTTGTGGGTCGAGTGTATTGTGTGTTGGCAGCTGTAGGTTCATTAACGTGGTCTCAAGACCACAATTGCACAGGGACAGGGCCATTGTAAGACAGACGATGTTGACAGACCCTGGATCCACAAAAAGCTTCATTCAACCTTTTTTACAGAAGCATTTGTAAGCACATTTTGATTCTAAAAGGCTGCTGGCATTTTAAAACCCAGTCCTGGTCCAGCTCTGTAACAGTATGTGAGAGTACTTCAGCATCTGCAGCCTGGTTGTTGGTGTGGTGAAGGAGCTACCTGGAGAAGTGCTGCTGCAGTGTCACCATCTGCCGCCCACCCTGCTGAGACTTGGCCCTCTCCCTTCTCTCCACGCCCAGATGTTGTTTGTTCTCCAGCTGGGGATTATTATTATGGATCAGTGTTGTTGGCGTAGCTGTAGGGCAGAAGGAGTAAACACAGTTAGTTTGTTGTTAATCTTGCATATCATAATTCCGTTGAAAATTTCAAAGATACAGTACATCTGTTCACCACCACACCCCCCTCCCCCCCAGTCTCTCTTTAGCAGTTTGTCAGCAAGTTTACTTGTCTGAAAAGAAGCAGGACCAGCGCACTGACTCCTCCACACCTCTCCGCCTCACGCACTGTAGTTTTGAATTAGTGTCGAAATCCTTGTTTTGCCCACAGCTGACAGGCTGTGAGTTAGACAGACTCCCTGCTCATGACATTTAAGCAGGGCCTTGAGGTAAACTGTCATTTTGGAACCAAATATCTGTGTATCGCGAAAAAAAAAAAAGAAAAAAAAGCATGCTGTGATGCTGTTATGGCGGCAAAGTTTTTGGTGTTTTTAATATTATAATGCCCGCATGACCTCATCGCTGGTCCTTTGGGTGATTACCTGTCTGGACGCTAATCAACAAAACGAGGAAATTTACGACTGCTGCGACCTGTTTTTGTTCCCAACGTGTTTACGTGAGCTGCAATGAATGACCCTGTAAAAATACCAGTGATATATGAATTTTCAGCTTATCTCTATTTGCACTGTACTTGTTAAAATAATGGGGATTTTCACCATGAAAAAGTTATTTTCTTCTTTAAGATCAGTTTCGCACAATACCAAGAGGCTAATAATAATGTTACTATATAGTTTACAGCCTATTTCAAAACTAATTTCTTTGGGTTTTTTCCCCTCTTGTTTGTAGCCTCTAGTCACAGATCTGGCTGCCTGTGACTCACTTCAGCCATCAGACTGCATCAGCACCATGTAGCGCCGATGTGCAGGGAACTTGTAAAAGTATATGGACACCTGCAGCTAATCTCTGATGATAAAACTGACTTTTTTTTTGTTTAAGACTACACTAAACATTCTTTATTTTACATGATCAGAGTAAGGACATCCAGAGGGAACTGTGCCAGGATGCATCATGGGCTCCTTCCTTTGGCGTTTCTCCAGACTGATAACAGCCTCGAGGACAGAACTAGACTCTTGGGAGGTTATGCTATATCTGATCTGGCTTGGGAATGCCTCAGGATTCCCCAAAGCAAGCTGGAAAACGATGCTGAGGAGAGCGACATCCGCACCGCCTGAGACCGGCTCATGATAAGCAGCAGAAAATGGATGGATGTCATTGTCAGCGCCGCTATTACCGCCACTGTAGACCTTTTTCATGTCAGACTTTCTGATCTTTGTCTTCGAAGGTGTGATAATAAAGACTCTGTTATGTGAAAATGTAGTTTTTTACCTTCTTACCCTGTCCACATGCTGTTATTTTATATGCTAGAATAACATCATGTGTGAAATAAGCAGCCAGAACCATCACTGAGTGTTTCCTCGAGTGTTGCAGTTTGCAAATGACAGTCTCAAAAACATAGATTCAGAGCTTCAAACACAACAAACCTCTGGAAACCAATCCTGTTAACTTACTGGGTGGGACTCTCTGCATCCCCATTTTTTTCTTCATAATTAGTTTCCACACCAATACTACAACTTGCCATTGCGTAGAAAAGTTTTACTGTGTTGTAGGTGAGCTGGCGTGCTCGAGCCACAGCAGCGAGCCTTGTACATAAAAGACCTTTCCAACAGCGGACATATTTATCTGTTAGAAAAGCAAAGGTGTTGCTCATAATGTAAACATGGTCTCAGTTTTATACAGCTTTCCAGTGATCCATGACAGCTACATCTTGAACAATAACAGGGTAATTATCAGCTAATCAGCCATCATAAATGCTGTTAAGGCTATTGGTCTTCTAACACGACATGTCACAATGTCTTCTGTGGAAAAAGCCTCGCGGAGTCCTTGAATAATGAGAAACTTTGTGCCATCGTTACTGTTACAATGCCAAACTGTAGGAGACTGATATTACCAGAATGATTCACAACAGGAAGATAAAGGAGGAAAACTGAGAATACAAGGTCAGTACAAAAGATCACTTAATTAACACTTATTGTGTGTGCTTTAATTAGTTTTTTTTTTTTTTTTTAAATATATAACAGCCTTCTCTAATTATTACCCTCATTATTATTGTTGTTTTAAGGTATGCATTAAAGTCAGACATTGCTTCCTGTTTTTCTGTCCTTCAGCCAACAAGAGAAAGTAAACAAAGTGAATGAGATGAAATTTTCACTGTTGAGTATTTTTATTCTGTACCTGCAAAGTCAGGGACAAAACCACTAAAGCATACAAAAGGGAGCTGGTGGTCTAAAATAAAGTTATATGCTTCATGTAAAAATGTTAATCGAGGTTTTTCAGGATTTCGGGTTGGAAATTTGCCTTTCAGGAAACCAGGCATTGACAAGAACGTTGAATGAACACTGCCATCTAGTGGTGTCTACACATCATTACCAGAGGCTGCAGGATATTAAGTTGATTTACCAATATAACCACGTGGTGGAGAATTAACATTCAAACTCAACTTTTAGGCCTGTAGACAAGCTCTTATTTGAACATTCACAGTTCAATAAGTAGTCAGCAAGATCTGTCCTGTTGAAGAGGCTCATGTGACACCAGTGGAAGCTCCAGAACTTCTACTGAATGGACCTCACAGTGAAATTTTGCACAAGAATGTATAAAGGCTGAGTCCTTTGTAACAGCAGTCTGAATCCGACCTGGACCCTTCACTACATGACATCCCCCCTCTCTCTCTATCTCTATTCCCTGCCTTTACTACAAAAGGATTTTCAAAGGAAAGATTTTCTGGATGCAACAAAAAAGCGTGGACAAAACACAGCAGAAAGCATCTGATGAGTAACTGCTGAGTGTTTGGAAGCAGGAGCTGTTTGTACGTACTCCTTTAAAACATTTTGGGGGTTTTAAACAACATTTTTTAAAATATAAATTTCTATATATTTTTATCAAATACAAAACTGCTCAAAACAAACATGTCATAAAATGAAACAAAAAGGCTTAATTTGTTTAACACATTTATTAGACCACCCAAGGTTTATGCCACAGCTGCACTAAATTAACAGCATTGGAAATTACCGACATCATTTCTTATGTTTCTGTAACGGTTGATACACCAGTATGTAGAAGCTCCTCAACCAAAATGGTATTTTTAATGCTAAAATATAATTATTATTGTTATCCATACATTTTCAAATGAACTGTTTTACAAAAAACAACAACAAAAAAAAAAATAGTAAAGCACATTATTATTTCTTTATTAAGTTGTCAAATTATAGTTATTTACTTGCATTCCTCAACAGAAAAATTTGTTTTAGTGGTTGAATGTTATGCTAGATTAATTTCTCAGAGAAATGAAATGGTGAAATGGTGACTTCAATTTGAAATTCCTCATTCCTTGTTCAAACTGGTAAAATCTTGAGCGCTGAGAGTGAATTAAAGCACTTCATGATGCTAATCATAGGTCTAATAAATTTGTAAAGCACTGTACATTGTGGCACTGTCATTTTATTAAGCTCAAAAAATGATCCATCCATGCATTATCTACACACCGCTTAATCCTCACGAGGGTCGCGGGGGGCTGGAGTCTATCCCAGCTGACTCAGGGTGAAGGCAGGGGACACCCTGGACAGGTCACCAGTCTATCACAGGGCTACACTTAGAGACAGACAACCAAGCACACTCACATTCACACCTACAGACAATTTAGAATCACCAATTAACCTCAGCATGTTTTTGGACTGTGTGGGAGGAAGCCGGAGAACCTGGAGAGAACCCACGCTGCACGGGGAGAACATGCAAACTCCACGCAGAAAGATCCCGGTGCCCCCACCGGTACACAAACCGGCGACCTTCTTGCTGCGAGGCAACAGTGCTAACCACCTGCGCCACCTTGCAGCCCAGAAATAATAATTCTCAAGTAAAATAATCTCAAAGCAAAACATAAGCAGCCACATGTGGATGCTGTTTAGGAAACATATCGCAACTTTTTCAGAAGTTTGTACATGAACTGATATTCTAAAAATGTTTGAATCTAGTTACAGATTATAAATGTCTTTATGTTTGCTCCCAAACTGTGTTGTTTTATTTGACAAACTGGAATACAGTTTTCATTTGACGGCCTTATGTAACAATACAAATGCATCACTTTCTGCCAGTAACTCTGTCGAACACTCCCTTTAAAATGTCTGTTCTTTTTTTTGTTTTTTTTTAAAGATTACAAATAGCACAAATACTGACGTGTTTCTCAACAGTCAGCCAGCAGATGGAGTTCTTCATTCATTTTCTTCAGCAGTCCAGACTCATCTGAGATTACACCTCAGCTGCTGGTGTTAGCTGAGTCACATGGCGTCTTTAAAAGTGTCATGTGACTTTCTGTCCCGAGATAATACATCTGTGGCACTCAACGCACACGTTACACAACGCCGGCCTGAAGAAGTGTCGTCGACGGATTTGAAGAAGATGCTCTCAAGATTTTAAGCCAAAGGTTGTTTTTGTTGTTTGTTTACAAGATGTAATTCAATTTTTTTTTGCAAGATTTCACAAGTGGGTAGTTTGGAAAACCACAACAACGTTCAATTATTACAAACTGTAAAGGTTCCAATAGGAAATGAAAGCCTTCAGATGTACCTCTGGGGATGTTTCTACAGACTAACCTTTCCGAATGCCCCCCGGGGAAGCATGAAAATGTCAAGTACACATTTTCACTCAGCATAAAGTACTACCTACACGACACTAGTACCGTACAACTGACTACTGTAAATGCACATCATCGTGGGCCCATTACACTGAAGGGTCTCTATTCTTAGACTTCATCTTCTATTAATACACACACACAGTGACATGCAGTTCTTTGGACAAGCTTCTCACCAGTGTACAAATAGAACAATTACCAACAGAGACTAAACAGTGCAAGTTTCATTATCCATTCATGCATCTCAGTGGGAGTGAAAATAAAGACTTCCACCCACAATAGAGACATAAAGGGTTTGGACAGTGCCACGTATAGTATTCAGACAACAGAACTATAGTG